GCGCCGGGCGCGCCCTCCGGCTGCCTCTGCGCCCGCCGCCCGGCTCAGAGGCGGCAGCGGGGTGGAAGAGCTGCGGGTGGTGCATCAAATCAGCCGGAAACCTCCTAAAAATTTCACCCTGATTACCTGGAGCAGTTGGCAAATCCTTTATGGCTCTAGCAGCCTCGGCAGGGGATTAATCCGGCTAGGAGCAGAAAGCTTGACAAATAGTGCGGGGAGGGAAGAAGGCGGAGGGTTACGCTGAGGTTTTGGGAGACGTTGGCTGTTGGATCCCTCTGAGGCTTTTGTTTTTTTTTCTTATTGTTAGTTTTCTGGCACTTGGCAAAGGGCAGAAGGAAAATGGGGGGAGGCGAGGTGTGAATCCGGATTTAAACTAAACCAGAAACCTCCTCCAAGGAGATCTTTAGAAGCGTTTCGACAAAGCTTTGGCGCTCAGGCTCCTGCACGGAGATGTCGCGCGCCTCTCTCCTGCCTACAGCCAACCTCTACCCCCCAAAAAATCGCAGCTCATAGGCGGGTCACCCCGTTGAGGACTGCAGGGATCGTGCGTAGAGGCGTGTTTTGCTGAGGGAAGATGCGAAACTTGACTTTGAAGATGCTCCTGCTGCTCTCTAACATTATTTTTCCAGTTCTGTGACGGATCGGTGAAGGACTCCAGCTTGCCCGAGCCTCCCCAGAGGCTGCGCACCGATCACCGAGCTCCCCTCCTACTCTGGGCTGGCGTAGACCGAGAGGAAACCAAGAAACAGGTTCGGAGCCGGAGCCAAGTCCTCATTGTTTCGTCTCCGTTTCAGGACTGAGAGGTATTGAGCGTAGGGGATGCTGCGAGCGCAGATAAGGAGCCTCGAGAGCAGCCGTAACGTATGAAGCATCTGGTGGGTTTTGAAGTTTGTCAGCGTTGATGGCGTCTCAGGCCTCGGGCAAACCTACCGGCTTCTTTTATTAAGGTCTGTCGCGACCGTAAGCGCAACCGTTAGGCTCTCCTCCTGCAAAATCCCCGATCCGAATAACGCCGAAGGGTTGGAGGAGAAACGGCCTTCCTCCGTTTTGCCTGGGAAAACAACGGTGTCGCTTTCCGTAGTTGCGTGGCGAGAGCGAGGAGCTGCCAAAAATGCTTAAAAAAGAAAAGAACAAAACCCGCTTTATCTCGTTCGGGTGTAAGGCCGGGAATATAAAGGTTTCTATCGTATCGGCGCCTCACAGGCATCGGGGTGGCATTTGTTTTTTTTGTTCCTTACGTGCGTTTTTCCAACGAGCCGATCCAAAATCCCGTTGTGGTTTCTAGATGGCGTGACAGCAGCTGGGGCCCCTCAGCCTGTTCCTTCCCCCACCGGTTCCCTCTGCCCCGTGCTTCTTATCTCCTTGGCTCGGATCCACCCTGAGATAACTGGTTTTGCAGCACGCGTTTGCTATTTTTTCCACCCAGCTTTCTCTCCTGCTCCATCTCCGGCTGTGCGGGGTGCTCTCCGCTGGCCGCGAGGGACGAACTCAGCCCAAAACTCTTGGCGTTGAGGAAAAAATCCACGCCTTAACCTTTCTGGCATCGTGGAGCTCGAATGAGCCGCGTACCGACCGATTCCCACGCGGGCGGGAGGACTCTTGGTGTGAGCTTTAGCCGGGAGGTTTCCCTGCCCTTGCTGCATCCGTGGGGTTAAGCCGAAGCCCAGATATTAAACTCGGTACCCGTACGGGAGTTGTTCCCCGCAGGGCCCTGGGATTTGTCTCGGCGACGACTTTGCCGCCTCGGTTGTTCTCCTGCACGTAGCGGGTCCAGCTCAGTGTTGTACCTTTGTTTTTTTTCGAGCTACGAGCTTCCAGCGAACCGCAGAGAACCGCCGGTCCCCAGCTGGATCGAAACGCTGGGCCTCGTAGCGCTGGGTTGAAGTGGGAACCGGCTCTTTTACCCCCCCAGGAAAGCGAGAGTTTAGGAATTTGTCATGGCAGAGCTTCCATCCGTAGGAAGGCTCAGTCGAGGGATGCTGGTACAAAGCTTTTTTGATGCTCCGAGATGTCTCGGACCTCCTCTCCTCACTGACCGCCGTCTCCCCGGCTTCTCAGTCCTGGGGCAGCTGCGCTGGGAGACGTTTGAGGATGGCTTGGGGAAGGAGGGAGGTTTCTATCCCGAGAGACCTGCAGAAATCAAACGGAGCGCTGATATCGCTCGATATCGATCCCGGCCGTCCTTCTCAAAGGTGCCTCTTCTCTCCCGCAGCGTCAGAACGAGTACCTGAGGTACCGGCGCCTCTTCATGACCGTCGAGCGAGAGCAAGTGAAGGAACAGCAGAGGCAGAAAGAGCGGCAGAAGAGAATCGCCGAGTGAGTACGTGCGGATGAGCGCCAGCCTCTCCGGTCCCCTCCTTCGTCCCTTTTTAAATTCTTGGCCGCTCGTCCGGTGCGAACGGGGCAACGCCATTTTGGAAAAGACGCGGAGGCTTTGAGAAGACCACCCGTGGTCTGAAACGCCCTTGGTATGAAATGAAGGCCAGTTGTAAAGCCTGACTTATCTCCTGGGTTTATTTTAGCGCCCGATCTATTAACCTTGGGGTGGGATTCATTCAACCAACCCCCCCAAGAGAGACCCTCGGGCCACGTCGAGTCCTTCAGAGGTCTCGGCGCTTCTCCGTCTGCTTTTCCGAGTCCTCGTTGCAGCTCGGGTAGGAGTTGGGAGCCGAAACATCGGGCTGGGAGAGTCGCAGCTCGCTAAACCCTGCCTCTCGGGAGCTGCTCCCTGTGCTACAATCCCTGTTTAGAAACTTTGCGGTGAGGCCACGTTGTTGTTAAACTGATCTTATCTCTGGGGATTTTTTTAATATCGGACCCTTCACCCTCACAGCTATAAATGTATATAGTGTAATAAAAAAGATTTCTTGGCGTTTGTTCCGGAGTTGAAAACTCGCTATCAGTACTTGTTTTGGTGGTTTAATCGTCTTCTCCCCTTTTAAGGGGTTCATTAAGGAGGAGCTCTGCAAATTCACACCAAAGTAGGAAAGATTTTTATTTTTATTATTATTTTTCATCTCTGCCTGGCTCTAAAATAAAACGACGTAGCTCTGACCATCTCTAACGCCGGCTCGGCAGCGGGCAGGCTTCGTGGGAGCAGCGCCGGCACCCGAGGGCAGGATTTTCATGGTCGCTTTTCGGAGAGAAATGGCCAGGCTACAGAAAGGCTCCTCCAACCACATTCCCGACTTTTAACTTGGGAGCTTCGGAGACCTTTTCTTGCCCTGCAAGTGCTGGCGAGACACCAGGGAACGTCCTACTTAGCGCGACATCTTCTTCTTCTTTTTTTTTCCCCCCCCGCCCCGGTTGCAGAGCTGGTTTTGTAATTACTCGGCGTCAAGCCTAAAGTTGGCCTTGGCTTTAGTTTCTCTAGCGGAAGATTTACGGTGGGTTTGTTATGGCTCTGTTACCACTTCATTTCAAAACCATTTGGGAGTTTATAACTTGACCGGAGGAGTTTGGCTTCGGCACTTTCCTTCTTGATGTAAAGATTTGACCCCCCCAAATGCAGTAACATGCGAAATGTCTCGTTCGATGCTTTCTCCCCCTGGCTTTTACCCAGCCTTGTTATATATATATATTTTTATTTTTTTTTTAATGCCTTTTTGGCAGCGAGCAGCCTGTAACACGTTATTGCATTTGGTGCTCATCAGCGGGAATAAAATGGCAGGGGCTTCGGTTTAAAGCCTTTGTGCTTCCGAATCGCCGCTTGTCGAGGGAGCGCGCGGCGCGTTCGGCGGGACTTCGACGCCCCGGATGGCGCCGAAAGGGGCTGGAATGCCGCGTAGGTGCGAGAGAGACGGAGGAAAAATGGGGAAAAATGCTTCTTAAAGGGTCTTTTGGAGGAGGTGTGGGATCCTTGGAGCTTCTCTGCTGGAGCCGGCGCTCTTCGACAGCCCTGTTACGCTCCCCGTAGGCTGGTGTTTCCGTATGGGGGAAGGAAAGGAGGCTCGGAAAGCGTTTTTGACCCTTTTATGTTTAAAGCTGTTAGCGCGGAGTTCCTTTCACCCACCCTGGGTGGTTTGGGTGAAAGCAGGAGGCGGCGGCAGCGCCTAGGTCCTGATTTTACAACCAGGGGCGGGCAGGGAATGGAGGTCGGGATGGGGAAGCTCCTTCTCTAAGCCTGTTTTTCCCTGCAGGATTAAGAGCAAGAAGGAGAAGCAG